TCCAGTACCTGAAGGGGCTACAAGAAGGCTGAGGGGGGACTTTTTACAAGGGCCTGTAGGGATAGGACAAGGGGAGATGGGTTTAAGTTGAAGGAGAATAGATTTAGATTAGATCTTAGGAAGAAATTCTTCAGTATGAGGGCAGCAAGACTTTGGAATAAACAAGGAGGCTGTGGATGCTCCATCCCTGGAAGTGTTCAAGGCCAGGCTGGATGGAGCACTGAGCAACCTGATCTGGTGGCAGATGTCCCTGCCTTGGCAGGGGGGTTGGAACTAGATGATCTTTGAGGTCCCTTCCAACCCAAATCATTCTATGATTCTATGATTCATAATATCTGGTTCTTTTTCCTGTTCATCTCCATATATAGAGAGGGCAGTGGTTGCAAGGAAGAATGCCAGGATTGTGCAATTGCTGCATGTGTATTGGAGATTAACTAAATCTATATCACATTTAATTTGAGGATTCATTTTTTTAGATTTGGAAACACTTACAAAATTTATTGATAATATTTACATTCAGTAATATCTAAAGGGTTTAACCGGGCTGGGGTGCAACAGGAACGCAGCCTCCGCTTTATAGTCTCGATTGACAAGGGTGGAAAGGGGGAAAAGATCACAAACAAGATTTACTGCTGCTGAAGTTGAACTGGTGGCAGCGCTCTGCTACCTGTGGGCATTGATGTGTACGCAGTGCCCTCAGCAGTGCAGGTCTGGTTTCAGAATCATAGAATCCTAGAGTGGTTTGTGTTGGAAGGGACCTTAAAGACCATCTCATTCCAACCTCCCCACCATGGGCAGGGCCACCTCCCACCAACCCAGGTTGCTCCCAGCCCCGCCCAACCTGGCCTTGGGTACATCAAGGGCAGGGGCTGCCCAGCTTCTCTGGGCAACCTGTGCCAGGGTCTCACCACCCTCACAGAGAAGAATTTCTTCATAAAATCTAATCAAAATCTGGTCTCTTTCAGTTCGAAACCATTACCCCTTGTCCTGTCTCTACACTGATGGAGTGTCACTCCCCAGCTTTCCTGTAGCCCCCGTTCAGGGGCTGGGAGGCCTCTGTAAGGTCTCCCCAGAGCCTTCTCTTCCCCAGGGCTGAACAGCCCCAACTTTCTCAGCCTGTCCTCAGAGGGGAGATGCTCCAACCCCTTGATCATCTTCGTGGCCTCCTCTGGACCCACCCCAACAAGTCCATGTCTTCCCTGACGTTTTGATGGGCTCCACAGCGTTGCAGCCCTGTAGATATATCTTAGGACGGGCTTGCTGTGGTGTGACCCATGGGCTGCAAAGCTGTGGTGGCACAATGGCATTCAGGCTGAGCTATACCTGCACGGCATTTCAGCCACTTGGCTCCTCTTGGGATCATAGAATCGTACAACACTTCCGGTTGGAAGAGACCTTCAAGGTCATCAAGCCCAACCTTTGTCCCAGCCCTATCAACAAGGCTAACCCATATCCCTCGGCACAACATCCATCTTAAACACCTCCTTCTCTCCTCTGCCCTGTTGGTAATCCAGAATCCCTTCGCCTCGTGATGATCAGGTGCAATTAGCATTAAATGACATACAGCCTTAGCCCCGAGTCGGTGCTTCGAGTTGCCAAACATGCTTTGGAAACACGTCGCAATGTCTGTGCTTACCCAGGATTCTGTGGAAGTACTGAATGAGTTTGTTTACAGTGTTGATGCAAATCTGAAATTATTTAGACTTTCATTTATTTCCAGTCTCGTTCAGCTCCAAAGCTATTTGCCTGAGATCATCCGTAAATATTTTGACAGCAGGAAAGAGAGTAGAAGTGCTTCGGGTTTGGAGAGGGACTGGTTAAATTTGGAAAATGCAGACGGAGAACGAGGACAAGGGAAATTATGGTAACACCATTTTCTTTGAAATGAAAATGTGCAGAAGGAGTTATGGATGGCTGAAGTTAAAAAGGAAATGGCAGTCAAAATGAAGAAAGGTTAAGTGATTTTGAAAGGTTTCACTTGCTGACTTACCAAACAACTGAATATTGGTTTAGTTTCTATAAATTGGTAGCACGTTCTGAGTCTAAATTAACTCAGCCTCATATGTGAAAATACACTCCATTTTCTGTAGAAATGCCTTTACTATTAAATTTGTGTTAATTTTTGTTTAGAAATAAAAATATGCTCCATATTATCATTCTAGATGAAATACATAATAGGGATAAAAGCATGAAAACATTCAAATCCTTCCATTTGCAAAAATTGCACTGCAGAGTGTACAGTCTGCCTTGTGATTTCCTGCAGACGTGATCCCTCATTACGGTGATTGTAATTAGTCGTTCTGATGCGGATTTCATCTTCACGGCACTTCACAAACATGAGGCAACTCATGCTCATTCCAGTCCCCTTCCTTAGATAAATAATATGATGAACCATGTTGTAGAAATGAGAGAAATGAAAAGAAGGGGTAGAACATCACGTGGAGCTGTACGGAAAGGTTTTTGTAGGGACCAGGTTCTACCCCTCATGAGCATCCGTCGTTTTTCTATCTTTTAAGAAGGTCACCACTCAGTCTTTGCCCAAGCATCTGCCTCGTTTTCTTTAGGACTCAAAAGCTCCTTTTCCCTCACTCAGCCATACCAGTGTAGTTCCAGGCCCATATTTTCTCTTTACTTCACTCCCTTGCTTTAAGAGCATAAATGTGTGTCCTTTCTCCCTTCGATCTCCCGTAACCATTCTTCATTTTGCCACTCCTCATCTTCTCCGCCGTCAGAAGCTTTTTGCCTCTTCAGGCTGCTGCTTCCCATCCCTTCTCTCTCAGTTTAGTGATGGACCTGGCATTGCTACATTAATGGTTGGACTCAATGATCTTAAAGGTCTTCCAACCTAAACCAGTCTATGATTCCATGACCGTCTTTCAGTCCGTTCTTGGGTTTGCGGGATGGGTTGTTGTCTCCTCGTTTCCAGGGAGGAGCAGAGATGGAGAGTAAAGTGGTGGGATCCAAGCCACGTCTTGCTTTTGTGGCACCGACTGGGCTCCAAATTGCCAATTCCTAGGAAAAATAGATATTCTAGGGAAAACAGATATTCTAGGTCCCAGTTGGGTGTTTGTGCCACTAAATCCCAGGTACCCGTGCCCTGCCTGACTCCTCAGCCTGTCCGGGCAGCAGTCTCGTCATACTGACACTCATACGAACCCTTAATGTTCCTCTCTTGTTTTTCAGTCAGCATCTAGGACTGGGAATTTTCGTAAAAGTCTTATTTTTTTCCCAAGTTTTCCTGATCTATTAAGAAATATGATTTCGATTAGGGGGCCGGTTAGCTCAGTCAGTAGAGCGTAGCGCTAACGACGCCAAGGTCGCGGGTTCGATTCCCGTTCGGTCCCCATGTGTTGCCTGATCTAGCCGAGAGGTGACATCCCTGGCGGCAGGGAGGTTGGATTAAAATGATCTCTAAGGTCCCTTCCAGCCCAGGCCATTCTATGAGTCTATGAGTCCATGAGACTTGCAGACCAAAAGCCAAATAAAATCTGTCCAACGTTGATTTGGGGACTTTGAGTGGTCGGCTCTTCTATGTGTGTTTCCAGGGGCCTTTTGGTTTTCAGGAGGTCTTGGCACCTGAAATATTTCTTATTTACACAGTGCTTTAAAACAGGTGGCACTGGGGGTGGTCTGTACAGGATGGATGGAGGAATTGATTGTGTGCATGAAGGTTTTCCCCAGGAGCACCATTCCCTGTCTTAGGTGGTGTGGACAGGGGATGTAAATTTAAAGGGAAGGGTAGTACGAACCAAATGGATTTATAACTCACTCCAAATCTCATTTTTTTTTAATAAAGTGAGGTCAGCGATGCCAGCCAAATATCAGCAGCGGAGGCAGATCGTCAAGTTTGATCTTAGATAGCCTGGTGTGCTAATTTAAGCATCTTTTTGGGTTTGAGTGGTTCTTTATATTTAGAGCAGGAAAAAAACCCACAGAAATATGCATTTTAAAATATTCTTGCTGCTCCTCATTAAGATTGTTGGCTTCTGAAGAGCTGAAGGATATTGTTAAATTTCTTCGGGTCAGTTGAGACGGCTGCTGAATTTCATGGTTGAAAAGCAAGAGAGGAAACAGAACCGATGGAAATATAATGAATATTTGTTCAAAGCAATATCTGCAAATTGCCCGTCCTGTCTAATATAGATTATAGATATCGGGTGGAGAGAGAGATGATTATGAAGTGAAATCAATCAATGCCATTTATCCAGAGTCTTAGGTTCTGGGTTTCTTTGTGGGCAGGCTGTGCTTACACATTATGGGGTATCTCGTCGGGCTAGCAGGAATCATTTTATTTCTGAAGCAATCTGATCATTTTACTTGATTTGCACCAAACAGAGACATGTGGGTAATGCCGCCGCAGCTATTTGGCACATCGGATGTACAGCGTTTTCAGGCATGTGAGACAGTGCATTTTGGTGGGTTTTATTAAGATTTATTTCATTCTGATGTTGTTTAACCAAGGTATGTAATCCATTTTTTTTGTTGTTGTTCTGTGATTGTTTTTTTCAACAGATGTGGGAAGAGGCCATTGCCTTGGGTAAAGAACTTGCAGAACAGTATGAAAATGAAATGTTTGATTATGAACAACTCAGTGAACTGCTGGTAGGTTTTTTTAATGACATAGACACTGCAACAATTTTTTTCAGAATTTAATTTCTAAGCTTCAAAAATTCTTTTGAAAACCTCTCTTATGACAGTTAAATGCAGAAATGAATGCTCGCTTTGACGTTGTTGGACAAATATTGATCAACTGGTTACCACTGGAGTGCCTGAAAATGATTGAATTCTGTTTTTTTTTAGCTGAAAGAAAAATATTTCGTAATGTAAAGCTGATTTATTTGGAGTATAAAAGGAAATTTGGAATTTAAATATAAATGGAAACTCGAAAAAAATCCCCATTCTCTTTCAAGTGTCTTTCCATATTCACGTTTCTTTTTTTAGGCACGAATAATGCCCAAGCATTCATGTCTAGAGCCAGTTATTTTTGCCCTGACGTTACCCATTTATTTTGCCAGCACCATTTATTTTATTCCTCTTCTCCAAAGAGCTACAGGGCAGCTCTCGCTGTTCTTCCTCGCTCCTCAACCATCTTCACAGGAGTTGGGACACGATTCCGGTTTGGTTCTGAAAACTCTTGACTTCCAGATTTTTGATACCGTTTCACACTCATCCGTAATTTCTTGGAATTGTTGATTGGTTTATCCCAGCCTGAGCCGGGCGTTAATTCAGCGTCGTTGCACCCTCTTTCTCCGCTGAGGATGGCTAGGAGCCACCTCCCCAGAAATATCTCAAACACTCCTTTCTTGGGGAGGAAAGAGTAAAAATTTAAATACCACACCTCTCAACTTTATGGTTTTTAATTCCTTTACGTGTTCTTTGTTTGGTCCCTGTTTCTCTCCTCCAGCTCTCCAGAGCTGAAGTCGTATCCCTTTTGGACGCTCCTCCTTTAGTGGCGTTTTCACCATTTTTAATAGGCAGATTGCAGTGATTTGCCTAAAAAAATCTGGAGCCTGGGCTGGGGAGGTGAGGGCTGCACGCACGGAGCAGCTCTCGGTGCCGTGCTATTCCTTGGCCGGCTGCCTGCGCCGCTGTCGGCCGGGCTGCCTTCAACAGAGAATATCCTTCATTTCAATATAAAAGGAATCTGGTGGAGATTGTTCCTCAGCTGGAAATGATTCCTACGTGTCAGAAATGATTATTCACCAGCGGGCAGCTACTCTCCGAGTCCCTCATTTCTAATTTTCCATCTCCTTCGTGCTTGCGCAGGGGAGCACGAACAGCTTTGTCACGCAGGCAGCCGCTCTTTACTTGTCATACTGTATCCATTTTGCAGAATTCTGAATTTGCTGAAGTCTGATTTGTAGCTGATGGCCAGTAATGCCGAGTTATGTATTCTTCGCCATTTCTCTCGCACAGTAAATATGTCATTGCTTACCTCAAGTGACAATTCCAGGCATAGTTCATCTCTGTATGGAAATAGAGTTTCTTCCAATAGGGAAGAACTTCCAGTTCTCACATCTGCTCTTTATTCATCAGACCGGAGAAATTGGGAGAGATGTCACAAAAATTAGTACCAGCACTGGGCATTTGTCCCTAATAAGGCAAAGAAATTCACGTTCTTGTATGAGAACGTTCCCGCAAACCCCGTCGGCTTTTCTTGTCTCTGCTCCTGAATAGCATTACAATGCTAGCTATTGGGTTTTTTTCCCCCCACAATAAAATCTGGAAGGTTTTTGTTCCTTTCTGTTCACCCTAGTGTCTCTTTTCTTCAAGCAATATTAAATATTAGGCTCCAAGACGATTTACAAATGACAAAATAGTTTTGCTACAGGTAAACTGAGAAATATATGGCAGATCTGGGTCTTTGTAGTCTTCTTGCCATTTGCTGTTATCTGTCGTATGGGAGCAGTCAAAAACCTCCCCCCAAATCAGAATTCATTCTCTTACAGAAGGTAATAGACTAAAAATAAGTTAACGAACAGATCATCTGAAGCTGCACATTTGTTATTATTTCATCATCTGAGATAAAGAAGGATTCTGCTTTGAAAGCAGATGGCGTCTGACATACGTGTGTTTATTCCCAAAGATACGTTGTTTTTGCACTTCTCAACCGCGTGCTTTCCGTGCAGATAAAGAGTTGTAAATATGGAGAAGAGGTAGTAGGGAAATGTAATGAAATGTAGCAGTCAGAAAACTGAGAAGTCAGCACCGTCGAGACGAGCTGGCTTTGGCCATGGGTGATTCACCGCTCCCGTGTTCTGGCATCGGCCGTGTCGCAACCGGGAATTCAGGCTGCCTTGTAAATTCTTGGCCTTCATCAAAATGGAGATGCTGGATATGAAACAGCGAGGTTCGCATAAGAATCGTCTATTAAAAGAGTCTATTATTTCAAAATATCAGGGTAAAACTGATACACAGGTGAAGAAAAAAGAGCCAATGGAACATCTGCGTCTTTTAAGTTAGAGATACATGTAGAAGAGATCTAGATCTTCAGTGTAAGGAGTATACTTATAGATATGAAAGTATATATACTTATATATAAGTACACATGTAAGTGTATGTACTCATATATATATGAGACTCTTTATACTCAAGATCTAGGTCATTGAAGTTAGGCCATTAAAATTCCTTCTATTTATTTTGCAGAGAAAGCAAGCCCAGTTCTATGAGAACATTGTGAAGGTGATAAGACCGAAACCAGACTACTTTGCTGTTGGATACTATGGCCAGGGATTTCCAACATTCATAAGGGTAAGTGTCCACTTTTTTCCACAGGTGATAGCTAAGTTTCTTGCTTTTGAAATTTCCCTCTAGTTACAGAGAAAGTACATTATTCTATGTCAGTGTGTTATTTACCATCTGCCCAACACTGATGGTTGGTTTTTAGGTGTGTAAAACAAACTGGGCAACTGTAAACTGTTCCAGTTCTCTACCCTTAAGTCATAACACCCTTTTTCTAATAAGTGTTCTAATAAATGTTTTCACCAAGTGTTCATTTTGAGAGGAGTAATGAGGTTAAGCATATTCAGCTGCAAGTGTTATATTCATATAAAAACTTACTTTAATATGTTTGATGAGTTAAAAATATGCAAGTTGTCTTTTACATTATTCTTTAGAATTTAGCGTGTTTGTTCAATGCATAAATGGGCTGGGTAAAATATATCTTCATTTTCTATGTTGTTGAAAGAAGAAATCAATACTTAGAAATACAGTATATTTAATTTAAAAGTTATGCTGTGTGCAGACAACTGTACAAAAATAACCTGTGCAAAAAAATCTAACAGATAAAGTTTGAGGTGTATTAGTCTTTCTAAAAGTCAAGTGCCTATGGACCTTCCTCCAAAAAACTGACATTGTTTTCTGTTTATGCTTTTCTCTGCTGCTCTTGCTCCCTCACCTCAATGCGTTTTAATAGTGTTTGTGTATAAAGAGCCTAATTCTGTTTATTTACATCCATTCCAACATCAGCTCTTGAAGGTGAATGATAAGACTTATCAGAAGGGGCTTTTGGATTTGGTAGAGGACGTAATTTGCCTTAATATATTTTCAATTAGCACTTTTTTAATAAATCCTTAATATCATTTATTTGGAGCCCACTGAATCTAGGGGGTTTTACACACAGGCCTTAGAAGTAAGAGTGGGCTTGGTGATCTCAGGGCTGAATGGGAGGTGAGGAGATCCATTTGTGCTTTATTGAATTAGCATAAAACCATGTCACAGTGTGAGGAATGTAAAATTTCAGAGTTAGCGGTGTTGGGGCAGCGCTTCCAAGACCCCAGTTCCTTGCCGAGGGTACCAGTGCAAGGATTTCACCTCCCAATTTGTTTCCAGAACAAAGTCTTCATTTACCGGGGGAAGGAGTACGAACGCCGTGAAGACTTCGAAGCGAGGTTGTTGACTCAGTTTCCAAACGCAGAAAAAATGAAAACGACGTCCCCGCCGGGCGATGACATTAAAAACTCCTCGGGCCAGTGTATCCTTGGGTTGCGCAGTGGCTCCCGGGTTGGGGATTCATGGCCAAAACAAACAGGAGGCCGTTGTAATTCAGCCTTTACGGGTGTAATGCCTTAATTCTGTTGTTCTTTCCTTCCTCCGTTTTCCCCTTGAGCTGCCTGTTCTGCATCATCAAAAGCTGCTTTTCAGTTCCTAACCTCTGAATTCAGATATTCAGTGCTTTACTGTAAAGCCGAAACTGGATTTGCCATCTAAATTTCACAGACCAGTGTCAGAACAAATCGTGAGGTGAGTTTGGGTTGGGTTTGCACTTTCGTCAGTCTCCTTTATAACACTTAAAACAAGTTCTTCTTGTCATGTAACGAGTCTGTACGCAGCCAGAGTGAGGGATATTCTTAATATTAGCAGACATTCCATCCAACACGCTGGGAAATGACAATCCCTTAAGCATTTTCTAGTCGTGCGTAAGTTTTTTTCCTAGTCCTGGAGTTAAGCAGCAGTTCCTAAACAGATAGTATTTGATTTTGATTGTGCTTCTCCCTTTCTTTCCAGTTTCTATAGGGTGAATGAAGTCCAACGGTTTGAGTATTCACGCCCTGTTCGAAAAGGAGAGAAAAACCCCGACAATGAATTTGCGGTAAAAATATAAAATACAACAGACTACTTTTGGGGTTTGCTTCCTTATTCCCCTTCATTTTGAGAATCTGAATCATTCATTATGTTTTGGTTGTTGAAAAATAAGTTCTCAGTTTCAATGTCGTTATTTTGCGTGGAATTCAGTTAAACCAATTCATCATGTTCTTGTTTTTACAAATAGAAGAGTGGGCAAAGCTGTATTGAGGAAAAAAAGTTGGAAATGGTTAAACCTGAAAAGATAGATGTCTCTTGCCAGCGTGCCTTAACATGAAGATTGCCGTCAGGAATCTATTTTTTTTTTTTTTTTACTAAAGCATATGTTTCATCTAATGGTCAATAAAACTCCCTTTGAGCACAGCTTGTATTCTTCAAAACGTTTACAAGAGGTTACATCAAATTGATTGCCTTTTTTTTTTATAGACACCATTTTATTCATGGGAGTTCTAGTGAGCACAGTTAGTAGTAAAGTAGTAGTAGTAATTAAAGTAATAAATTAATGCATTTCTTGAGTGAAGAGCTTGGTTTTCTGTGTAGTAAACAGGCTCTAATCTAATCAATGCGCCAATAAATGCCAAGTATTTGGTTCCCTGCTGCTAAGACTGAATGTTTATTCAGGGACTCCTTTAGTGTCGGTGCCTTTTCTTGGTGGCTGTTGTATCAAAAATTGCTAATTTTCTAATCTACGTGGGTGTAGCTGAGGAAGCAGGAAACCCTCATTTTCTAAGACCATAATGCTAGACGGTGCTACCGCTCACAACGCGTTTTGAGTGTAGCTAAGAAAATTTAGGCATATCTAAATGACTTTGAAAGCTCTTCTTCTGTTGATGGAGGATGGAATATATTTGGTTTATAAAAAAAGCCTCATAAGAAATAAGGTGAACTACCAGCGTGTGCCAGTTCTAACAAAATCAGATTGAGATGTCTTTGACATCGGTTATGAACCAAATACACCCGTGCGAAGGAAGAGGTGTTAAATCACGTATCCTTAAATTCAGCCCAGTGGGGAGATGTTGCAACGAAGCCGTTGCAGTTAACGGCTCAGGTGAAATCACTGAATGACAAATTCTGGTCAGGATCTGACAAATTCTGCTCAAGTGCAAGCCCTGCCCCAGTCAGGGCCAGCTCCAGGCTCAGACCCAGCTTCTTGGGTCTATACCCCTGCGGGTATCGAACCCCCCAGAGATGGAGATGTCTCTTCCACCTTCCTGGGGTAGAATCATAGAATGGCGTAGGCTGGAAGGGACCTTAGAGAAGCTTTTCCTAAATTAAGATGTTGTGGTTCTGTAGAGGGTGGTCCTTAAAAGCTGTCTCCCGGAGAGAACGTCAGGCCAGTAAAACCAGTGGATCTTTTCCGTAGTGTTCTTTGGTAAGAGAGCAGTTGTTCTCTATAAGTCACGTACTGGATTTAAATCAGTGCCACTCCATCATCTCCCCAGGCAGATAACATTTAAAATTCCCCCCGGCTTCATAATATCTGTCGTACTCTAGTTCCTTTTCCTCGTGATAATGTTTTAAGGCTTTGCTTAAGATAAAAGCTATCAATCTGCTAACATGATGTTTATGTTGCGTTTGCAGAATATGTGGATTGAGAGAACCATCTATGTGACAGCGTATAAATTACCGGGGATTCTGAGGTGGTTTGAAGTCAAATCGGTTTTCATGGTAAGATCAATTTGGCTTTATTGAGATTGCATAAAAGAGCAGGGCTCTCCCGCAGCCCCGGAGCATTTATATTTCTGCACGCCTGTGCTTCAGTGCTGTGAAGAAGCAATCAGTGTGGCTCTGGCTGGTGTCCTAAGACAAGGGGAACTGGCTTGCTGAGGATGCTGATTATTGACGGAGGGTGACCCGAGTAATGCTTTTCCACTCCTGAGAGGAGGAAATGCGGGCTCGGTCTTGCTCTTTTAGGGCAAGGTCTGATCAAGTGCCTGAAGTACTTTTAGCTCTGGCTTGCAGCAGGTGAGCCATTACAGCCTGGGGCGTAAGCCGCGTGCCCCAAATGAAGAGGCGGAGGGGAACTCTGCTACATCAAGTTGAAACCAGAATTTTGGAAAAAGAGGATTTGGGGTGTTTTGATTGTAATCCTTCCCAAATCAACTGGAAATCAAATGCCCTCCGTGTGCCTGCGTTTCTTCTCTCCTTAACTTTGGTGATTAAAGGTTGTTTTTGTTTCTTTTCCGTCATTAGCTAAAATACACTCTGGCAACCTCGTGGAGTAACTCCAAATTACGCATTTCTCTGTTCTACCTTTTAGACTGTTTAGATAAAACATACCCATTAAACGCCTTTAAGATTAAATTATTCTTACGCAGCTGTAATTTTTAAGCAGCAATAAAAACATTGTTACTGCTGTTTTTAAATCTCTCTTGTGAGGCTTATTTTTAAAGGAAAAGAACAATTTGCATATGATTAATTAAAACCTTTTTTCATTGCTCCATTGAGGTTCTGTTGGACAGTTGTATTTAGATGAACAGAAGTAATGCAGAAAATTACTATGGTATCTATAGTAACAGAATATGAATGTGATGTTTGACAGTAATAGGCAGCTGAATAAAACACGCTGAATTTTTAATGAATTTTGTATTTTCAATATAATCCCGATCGAGAAGATTGTATTTATCTTCATGATTGCAAAAAGTGCTGTTGGTAAAGGCTGGCAAATCTGATATAAGTAAGGATTATATCAGTCACATAGCTGAAAAATGATACAGGAATGGAACTTAATAATAGGTGGGAAGACAGCAACGGATAACTTTTGACCGAGCTCTGGCGTAGTTACTACAAAATCAATATTGACTGTCTTCAAGATTCCTGTCAGCTAAGATACTGGAAGCACGGGGTTTACATCCTTGTAATGCTAAATTTTGATTATGGATGTAGATATTATTGATGTTTTCCTAAACACGATGAATTAAAGTAGCTTTCTTGATGGAACTAGAATCTATTTTCTGATGGAACTAGAATCTATTTTCTTGATGGAACTAGAATATGTTTAAAGGAAGAGGTGAGATCATATCAAATCAGCGCTGAGAGAGAAGGGAGTAATTTAATAAATGCAGTGTATTGTGTAATGTAACCCATAGGAACATGCATAATTTCCTTAAATCTATTTGCTTTTAAAATTCCTTCTGAGTACTTTTACCTAAACCTTTTCAGTCTGTTCATTATCTGCGAGAAATTTGTTGTACACATTCACGATTCTGCACCTGATTCGTTTTAGCTGGACGCAAAGAGTTGTAGGGGAAAAGTTTGCTGTGGCCAGCCAATGAATGAGAAAATGGATTTTTGAATTGCACTTTGGTTTTAAAAAGTGCAAACACTAATCTGTGTTTTGTCTTGGTGTTTAGCTTTTTGGTGTTGCAAATGTATCAGGAGTGTATGTTTGCCCTGAATAGATTGTGTCGCGTCCAGAGTTAACGAGCTACTTGGAACGAGCCTCATAATTTGCGAGTACAGATATTTTTAATAAATAGCTTTCAGTAAGTTCCAAAGCACAGCTTATAGTAGTAGGATGGGAACTGCAATTCTCCATCTGCTTTTAAAAAATCAAAGGGAGGGTTGTAAGAGTAGTAAAAGAAAGGAGAATGAGAAAGCAAGCCATGATTGCAGATACAGAAAAGTCAGAACCGATGTCTGTCAGCTCAATGAGTGCTAATTTCTGGAGATATTCAAGAGCTTTAAAAGCAATGGTTCATCAGCACATTATTGCGTAGTCGTAAGCCCGTTAATACAAATGACAGAATCCTAAATTTAGCGTGTGATGTTCACAACGGTACTTGCCGAATGAGACGTTGCAAATGGTTTTGCTTCCCCGGTCCAGCTCTGAGCCGTCGGCCGGCCGGCTGAGCCGGCTCCGCTCCGCAGCCGCGGCACAACCCTCGGGCTCGTTACCTGCCTCCCAGAATAATCCAGACTCCTTAAAATGCTAATTAAAACATCCTTGATGTAATCAGACGGCAGGTGTAAGAGTAACAACTAAAGAGATTTGATTATAAGTGGTTCTCAGAAACGCGGTAACTATTGATAGCCAGGTAGAAGTGCTGCTTTGTTTATGTAGCATTTATGTAAATTAGAGTGTAATCAAATATACGCTTGCATTTTCCTCACAGGCCTCAATTAACCTTCCTTTTCTGTTCTTCCCATGACATTTTATTTAGTGGGAGTAGACTATGTCTTCCAATGAGGACTGTCCATACTCTGAGTTGCTGCAAGTTAGTAATTTTTAGCCCGTTCACTAAAAGTACATATTTTAACAATATTTTAAATATTTTTGTACTGTTTTTTCAACAAGAGCAGCTGTTGTTCTGAAAGATGTAGTGTCTGGCCACAAATAATAGCTGGAGATCAGCCGATTAAATTAAAGCAGATTTTGCACAGTGTAAGAGCTAATTCACCCCGCGAAGACATCTGAGGAGCTCTCTTCACTGAAATCCAGGTTATGTGAAAAAGAAAATTTCTTCCTTCAGTTAACGAAGTTCAGATGAAGAAAGTGTGGCCTTGTATGAAAAAGCACAACAGACAGCTTAGAAGTCGTCTCTTCAATTTATTAAACTCCCTTTCCTTGGAAATATACCAATATAATCACTGCGAAAGTATCTTCTTGATTTTTGAGCTGCTTAGGATTACATTTTCCATCGGAAAATCCACATTAAGTTGTCATTTCTTTCTTCCCGTTACATTAAGCTGGATCTTCTTTGTACTGCTAAAACTCAGCAGCTCATAATCTCTGATGTTCTCCATAATCCTCGAAAAACCTCACGTGATCCCTGTCAGAGCATTTCTAAACATTTTGCTGTTGAGCTGAGATGTAATCCAGCCTACAGCAGCAAAATGCACTTCGCTTTCTCCACTGCTAGTGTTATCCTATCAGTTTACTACAGAGTTACTATGTCAGTTGCTGTAGAGCAGTACAGAGATACCAAATACATAATGCCCGAAACCATCCTTTCTGGTAATTATAGGTTAAAACAGCTTTTGTTCTGAAATTCTCAGAATGTTTCTAATTGTGGTCTGGTGGACAGCCAGTTCTGTGGCAGGTTGAAAACTCTTGCTCATTGATTACAACCTCATCTTCTTTGTATTTTAGATTGAAATTAGTCCCCTGGAAAATGCGATTGAAACCATGCAGCTGACGAACGATAAGATCAATAATATGGTTCAACAGCATTTAAACGATCCGAATCTACCCATTAACCCTCTCTCGATGCTGCTTAACGGCATCGTGGATCCTGCGGTCATGGGAGGGTTCACAAACTATGAGAAGGTAACGTCAAAAAATTACCTGTCCTGGAGCCTGGGCTCTCCTGGAATGCTGCCAGCCGCGTGCGTGTGTGGCTTTGTGTATAAGCTCTGTGTGAGTCTGCCTTCGCATGTGCTTTGTAAGCTTAAAACTTAACGTTTTTAAAGTCTTTCTGACATTTCTGCATAAATTTTTGCCTTTCTACGTTTGGAGTAAAAGTTAGCAGAGTACTTACGTAGGGACGTGGTGGACAGTTGCTTACAAGGGTGAAACAGGGACCCCAGGGGGGACTCTCAGGTGCTGGAGCATCAGAGCTGAAGCAGGAATTTCTGGGTCAACTTTGGTGACCGAAGAAACCGGCTGCAGTTCCCCACATTTGCTTTCAAATATGAGTTTTTCAAGGTTTGGTCAAATGGTAGAGACTTCTGAGATACCGGTGAGTTGCAAAGATGTCTAAGTAACCTTAATTTCATGTTTGCATTAGCTTTTAAAGTTATATGGGATGAGATACTAACATTGGGAAAATGTGCACTGTAGCTGTTTATGTTGTGAATATTAATCATATTAAGCTGGCATACACACCAACATGTGGGTTTTTAGACCTAAATGGACAAAGTACTTGCTGAGAGCCCTGTCACAGCACCCATCCATTTATGTCCTTTTGTAGCTCTAACTCATTTCACCTACCAAAAGTTCTTGTGTCCTGGGAGCTGCTCGTAAGACGTTTCAGAAATGTGCCAAGTCCTCTGCAGGGTTGCCCGCGAGATTTCATCTTGATCCCCACGTGCTCATCCGCCGACTTTCCTCATCACAAATGATTAATGTCTTAAATAGTTAAATTCCATACTTCTTTCCTCGATTTTTGCTTTGTGTTTGTAGCTGTTGCTGCTGTTTTGCGGAACTCTGGATTTGATTCATTTATCTTTGCTGTAGGTAATTCTTGCGTGGTGGATGTTGATTCATTTTCTGAAATAACTGATCATTTTTCTCTTTTGACCAGGCTTTTTTTACTGAAAAATACATGCACGAGCATCCAGAAGATCATGACAAGATTGAAAAACTGAAGGATCTGATCGCTTGGCAGGTAAAAAAATTTTAAGTCGGGTTGGTCAGGTCGAACTGCCATACAAAGACAGTTTAGTGTCAGTTTTGAGAAAATTCAGACATTAAGCTCTTCACCCTGTGAACATTTTTTTGCCATTTAAAACTGTCTTGGAACTTGAGCTAAAGTTCATCTTTTCAAATCTGACACCATTTGTCATTTGATAAACCTGCAAGGAGTGAACATGATCAACCTCTTTTTTTTTTTCTTTCTTTGTAACCACAGTACAGTGAAAAAAATCCCATCTATATCAAATGAGAAGATAGTTTGTAATAATATTGGCTGGTATTACTGGCAATTAAGTTTTGCATTTTAATTTCCTAATGCTGATTTCACAACTTCTTCTCGGTCAATAAGATAAAATGTCTAACCCTAAATTTTTCCTCCTGCTTGCACGCTCTGGGACACTTCCTTCACTTACTCACGTCTTTCTTCAAACACCACCTTTTCCATTTATTAAGCATTCTGTCTATACTTATAGTAACTCTTAGCACAGAATATTAAATGTGAGAGCTGCAAAAATTAACTTTGTATTTAGCAAATTCACCTCGATGTTGCGAAACCTTTGCTTCATTTGGTGTATAACTTACCATGGTGCCAAACCATTAATGATTCCTAAAGCGTGTGAAATTACTTGGTATTTTTATGGTGGCGTGTTAGAGCAGATATAATTTCAATATAAGATCACATGGGTAATATTTCTTGACCCAGAAATGGAACTCAGCTTTCAAGCCCTGTGCCTGAGGCAAAGCAGGAACCCTCTTGCGTGAGGAACTGCGTTTGTATGTACCAAAGGGTGGTTTTCAGCACAAATAAGAAACAATTCCGATTTTGTTCCCCAGTCATGTATTGGACATCTTCCAGTGCTCTCAAGATAATTTTATGATAACTAAAAAAATACCGGTATGATTGGAAGTGCTTTTCCCACAAAAGAAGAAAGTGCATTATTGTCTTTTCTATTCAATTTTGCCTTTATAACAAAGGGAATAATTTACATTTCCGTCATAGAGGTAGTAGAACCAAAGGTAGAGAATTGAAAATAAAAAAAATCCTCTGAAGACCATAAAACCATCACTGAATAAAACCCCTTTTGTTGTGGGGGAGAAAGAATATTTATTTATTTATTTTCTTGTGAGCTTTTACAGAAGATTAGATTTTAGGAGCTTTAAGTTTTACAGGGGAAAATAATTTGATCCCAGAAGTCTAGATTCATGTCAGCTCTCCGTCTTTGCCTCTGACAGCGATACTTGAAATGAATTACAGACACACTTTTCCTCACCAAAGATTCACTTTGGTGACATTTGTGTATTAAAACAATATTACTGTGTGAAAACATATGGCAGCTAATCACATCCTATTTTAATTGTTCAGTGATTTTAAATACATCCTTTCCCATCAGTATTGTAGTTCCAAAACAATAGAAAAACAGAGGCGAGGGATCAAAAAACAATTTTTACACCTGAAAACTCTTTTCGCTAAAAGGTCTCGCCGTTTCGCGGTGGAAATCAGAACTTCAGAATTACCTTGGACGTTTCATAAACGTTTAGTGTGTCCTAAGACTTAAACCCTCTCAGATTATTTCAGATTTCTGAGTGGTGGCGAGGCGGGAGCTGGGCTCGGGAGAGGAAGGCGTTGGGGAAAAGTTGCGGCGCGAGGCAGCAGCCTGAATCCATCATAGGCTTGGCAGTGATTGAAAGGAAAAATGAGTTTTCATTTTTCAATAATGTGGAGCTTGGAGTTTTGTAATCACATGGAGATTTTCTTTATGCTGTATAAATCAATCTGGATATATGAAATAGTAGCCTGACAATCATATTATCAGCTGACTAGTTAAATTTAATTTTTTTTTCTGTCCCCTTGCCTTACCTTTTTCTCTGTTGTTCAATGGAATTCGTTCTCCTCAAGATATTATCCTTTTATAATTCCTGTGAAAGTTAAGTTTTTTCTGTTATTTTTTTCAGACAAATATCCCTAATAAAGCGATGTCCTTTTCATCCAACTTGGAAAAAAATGTTGCTGTGCCACTGCATAACTTCAAGCTGATTTTTTTATTTTAATTGGTGCCTCCTCTTGCCTGTTCCTTGATCTCTTGACTCAGCAGTTCCTGGACCAGGAGACCACCAGGCGTTAGGACATCCCATCCCATCCCATCCCATCCCAACTCAATCCAACCCAACCCAACCCAACCCAACCTCACTCCAGCAGACCTGGCCATCAACCCTCCTACTATTTTGCCAAATATTCTGCATGACTGGT